AAAAAAAAAAAAAAAAAAAAACTACAAAGAAGTCAAAAGATTAATGACCATAAAAGTGAAAACAGAAATTACCTCTGCATGGAGCAGGAGGGGGTTATGGCTATAAGGGGTACACAGAGAACTTGATTTGCCAAAGTGTCTTCATGTGAGTGGGAAATGCACTTGTGTTCACGTTATGATTAGTTACATACTCTGTATTGTTTCATATACCGTTTTAGTTTAATTCCTGCGTTGATGCCTGTAAATTGCTTATGGTGAGTTGCTTTATTGCTAGTCTTTAGAACCTTTAGGAAATGACTACTTCGCAAAGATGTCTTCCAGGTGTAGCAAGCTTTTGGGTTTTGAGTCTCTTGCAAGATCCTACCTCTTCAATTTATTGGGGATGAGAAGTTGCTGCCTATTTGGCCTAGGTTCTAGTTCTCTGGCCCTGGCCTATATAGTATTGTTTATGACCCTTAGGCAATCTCAAACTTGGCATACCAGGAAGGACAACTGATTAGAACAGTTATGTTACCTTAGCTAAAATAGTACTATCAGCAATAATGATAGCATTAAACACAGCCTGGAAAGTGACGCTATGGTAACTGTTACTTTGCCATCTTTAACTGTATGAACTAGATTTATGGTTATATACAAATCTAAAACCAACCAGAAAATTACATACAGTAAATATGCCCTCAATATTGTGATTTTACCCTCAAGGGAGAAAATTTAAGTGGGGTTAGGGGGAAAATATAAAGAAATAGAAGAAGAGGAAGAGACTAAAGCAAAGCTGGAAGACAAAGGAAGATTATACAAACTTTGGGAAACTGGTGAAGACAGGAGGGAAAAAAGAAGGAAGAAATAAAAATAAGAACAGAACAATAACAAAAAACTAGATAATGTTTACACTCATATAAAAACAAGATCAGGAAAAAACAAAACAACAACAAAAGAGAAAAAACTAGAAAGAAAATGTCCACTTCAAGGCGTGTCTCTGCCATCACTAGTAGACAGAATGGGCAGACAGACACCGGTTCTCACGTGCCATTTTATATGTGTTCTTTTACAATAAAAAAAAATTTTCTTAGGAGAACATAGGTAGGAGGATTGACTGTGAAAGAGTAAGAACACTTTTTCTCATGAGATAGACGAAAAAGGAGGGAGGATAAAGCATTATGTGAACTGAAGGAAAGAAAGTTGTGTTTTACCTGTGCAGTATAGAATAAAGCTAAGCTAAGAATATGAGAGGTCTTAGGGGCTGGGGATTTAGCTCAGCAGCACAGCGCCTGCCTGGCAAGCGCAAGGTTGTGAGTTCGATTCCAGGTACCGGAAAAAAAAAAATAATAATAATATGAGAGGTCTTAAGGAAATTACCAAATATTTAGAAAAATAATTGACAGGAATAGAGAAGCAACTAAACCTCACTGAATGAAGAGCATTTCCCAACAACTTGGAGGCATAAGTCAAATTGGTATTTGTGCATTTCTGATTGCCAGTCGAGAAAATCTCATCTAAGCAGAATGTAATGGTCTTCGGCATGTTCTATAAAGCCAAGGAAATCATTGTAGTGGTATATTTGGGGAAGATATATGTTAAAATGAATTAAACATCGAAGAGATTTAGTGTAGTATACATCGAGACGTTTTGAGAATTTAGGAGTAAGATCAGAGAAAGTCCACACTTTTGAAATGAACCTGCTCAGATTAGCATAAGATGAATGAAAGGTAGTAGTCATCTAAAAAGAATGTATTGAGGAGATTTGAAAAATTCCTAGTTAAATTACAATCATCAGAGTTTGGTTTGTCCTCCAGATTAGAATATAATTAGAAGAAATAACAAACGCATTGCTAACTTCATAACTTCACTACATGTGGGGAAAGTGTTATGCTGTTGAAAACTGCGTGAAGGTTATCTGGTTTTAGACTGAACATATGGGGGGCCAGGGAGATAGCTCAGCAGGCAGCGCCTGCCCAGCAAGCGTAAGGTCTTGAGTTCAATTTCCAGTACAAAAAATAAACAAATAAATAAACTGAACCTATGTTCTCAAACTGTGATTTTCTTGTTTTAGGAATTGAAATTTATCTGATTTTCTAACTGACTATGTCATTGCCCATGTACTTAACTCTTCAGTTGTGTTTTGTGTTATCTGTTTAATTCTCTTCTGTCCAATATTCTGACAATCAGTACTATCACAACACTTTCTTTTATCAGATGGGCCAGTTTTACTATTCAGCCAAAGCTTTTGATGTCCTGGAGAGGCTGGACCCGAACCCGGAATACTGGGAAGGCAAAAGGGGTGCGTGTGTGGGCATTTTCCAGATGATCCTCGCTGGGCGAGAACCCAAGTAAGTAAACACGTGGGAGATGATTCGTGTTTTGGTGTGTGAGGGAAAATCTTCTGAAAGCTCAAAATTATAATGCTGTTTCAAAATGTTGAAAAAAATGTGAAGATGTTAAGTTTTTCTATTGGACTATTTTCTTACAAAAAGTGTCTTTTTGTTTTTTTTGTTTGTTTGTTTGTTTTTTGTTTCTTTTTGTTTTTTTTTTTTTCTGGTACTGGGAATCGAAAGACCTTGCGCTTGCCAGGCAGGCACTGTGCCGCTGAGCTAAATCCCCAGCCCCAGAAAAAAAGTGTCTTATTTTTATAGAGTCAAATCATTCTCAATCATGCATACTTGTGTACACCACAGCTCTCAAACCTAAGAGCAAAATGTGGATTTGTTTCCAAATGCCCGGCCATTTCCATAAACGTCTTGTCCACTCCCTTCTTCGTGCCTCAGAGAATAGGACCGGAGGGATGCGGTTGGTAACTGTTTCTGCTCCGCCTCCTTATACTCCAGGAAATGCTAAGATACTAGATTACATGAAACTCATTGGCTTAAAACTCCATCTCAGTAAAAATTAAAACATTCAAAACCGAATTTGGTGTTCTAAAAATAACTTCATGGACTGTTTTTGTTACTGGTGATGACTAATTAATGTAATGATGTTATAAGCAAATAATCTGTGAAAAATTAGTTCCTGTCTTAAATCTGTTTCTAATCCTAAATAAAGGTTTAAAGCATTTGGTCAAGTGAAAGATGTTGGTTTGGGTTAAAAGAAGTAGAAAAATAAGAAGACTGGTGGATGCAGGTACATAGGCAGTCACCCTTCTTCAATCTGGAAAGGATGAAGGAGTTTCATTGTCTATCTGTCCAGTCTTAGCCCGTCATGCTCCTCTCTTCTATAAGTAATAGCATGTTTGGGCCTTTCTTGACCAAATTTCTTCAAGAAATGAGCCTGGCTTTGTAAAATGCCCAGTTTAAAGTGATTACCACCTTAAAAGGGAAATCCGACAAAGACTCAGACAAATGAAGTGACTTGTTAGTACTGGAACTAGAATTTGAATTCAAGCCCTGGATATGTGCTTCCTATGCTGTCATGCAAAAAAAGGGTAGAAAAGGGAATATTTAGATCACCTGAGGAGGACACAAAGCTTAAGAGTAGTAATAGAGATAATATAAATAAGCAAGGAAAATGTGGGTAGATAAGGAGGATTTCACAGAATTTCCATTCTACCATACCACTGTAGGGATAGAGAGCTAGGAAGTTTGTCACTGGTTTATGAATACACAGTGGAAGAGTCTATTTTAACAGATGCCCCAGTAAGAAGCGCAGTGTGAAGTTATGAGTTGATCTTGTTAATTTTCATTTCTTTATTGAAACACTTTGTCCTTTCAAATCTTTTCCTCAGAGAGACCCTCCGAGAAGTGCTCCATCTGCTGAGAAGCACGGGAAACACCCAAGTGGAATACATCATCCGGATCATGAAGAAATGGGCCAAGGAAAACAGAGTGGCTGTCTGAAACAGCTCCAGGGACCCCGTCCTAAGACCCAGCTCTGTGCTGACATCAAGTCAGAAATCACTTTCCTCAAGTCGAAATAAGTCGCAGGGTTCTATTCGATTGCCATTTCCCTCCTCGCCTTCAGGCCTCACGGGGTGATTGCCCGTGTAGCCCTAACCCTGCCTAAACAAAGCACCGGCTTTGTGCCACGGCCCCAGGTGACCCCATAAGCAATAAGACTTCAGACTTCTCCAGTGCCTTTCTTCCAGAAATACTCAAGTATTTGTCCATGATTTACTGGCTTTACCAAGAACACCATAGTCTTTTTTTTTTTTTCTTTTTACGATAGCATTTCGTGACATTTTCTCCCAGTGGCAATAACAATGCTTTCGATGCTCAAAAATCACCATCATCCTACTGTCTTATGTTTAGCCATCTCTGCACATTTTCCCTTTTTAATGGGGATTCCATAAAAGGTGTTGGGTATATCTGAGTCCTAGAAGAACAGAGATTTTGGGGCTGGGGATTTAGCTCAGCGGCAAAGCGCCTGCCTGGCAAGCGCAAGG